AAAGTACAACACAAATACAGAACTCTAAGACTAGAAGTCTACGGATTTCCATATTTCTATACGTCAATCAAGTTTTGGGAAAGCCTTTACTAAAAAAGTACAACACAAAAACAGAACTCTAAGACTAGAAGTCCACGGATTTCTATATTTCTATACGTCAATCAAGCTTTGGGAAAGCCTTTACTAAAAAAGTACAACACAAATACAGAACTCTAAGACTAGAAGTCTACGGATTTCCATATTTCTATACGTCAATCAAGCTTTGGGAAAGCCTTTACTAAATAAGTACAACACAAATACAGAACTCTAAGACTAGAAGACTACGGATTTCCATATTTCTATACGTCAATCAAGCTTTGGGAAAGCCTGTACTAAAAAAGCAAAACACGAATACAGAACTCTAAGACTAACAGTCCACGGATTTCCATATTTCTATACGTCAATCAAGCTTTGGGAAAGCCTTTACTAAAAAAAGTACAACACAAATACAGAACTCTAAGACTAAAAATCCACGGATTTCCGTATTTCTATACGTCAATCAAGCTTTGGGAAAGCCTTTACTAAAAAAAGTACAACACAAATACAGAACTCTAAGACTAGAAGTCCACGGATTTCCATATTTCTATACGTCAATCAAGCTTTGGGAAAGCCTTTACTAAAAAAGTACAACACAAATACAGAACTCTAAGACTAGAAGTCTACAGATTTCCATATTTCTATACGTCAATCAAGCTTTGGGAAAGCCTTTACTAAAAAAAGTACAACACAAATACAGAACTCTAAGACTAGAAGTCCACGGATTTCCATATTTCTATACGTCAATCAAGCTTTGGGAAAGCCTTTACTAAAAAAGTACAACACAAATACAGAATTCTAAGACTAGAAGTCCACGGATTTCCATATTTCTATTCGTCAATCAAGCTTTGGGAAAGCCTTTACTAAAAAAAGTACAACACAAATACAGAACCCTAAGACTAGAAGTCCACGGATTTCCATATTTCTATTCGCCAATCAAGCTTTGGGAAAGTCTTTACTAAAAAAAGTACCACACAAATACAGAACTCTAAGACTAGAAGTCCACGGATTTCCATATTTCAATTCGTCGATCAAGCTTTGGGAAAACCTTTACTAAAAAAAGTACAACACAAATACAGAACTCTAAGACTAGAAGTCCACGGATTTCCATATTTCTATTCGTCAATGAAGCTTTGGGAAAGCCTTTACTAAAAAAGTACAACACAAATACAGAACTCTAAGACTAGAAGTCCACGGATTTCCATATTTCTATTCGTCAATCAAGCTTTGGGAAAGCCTTTACTAAAAAAGTACAACACAAATACAGAACTCTAAGACTAGAAGTCCACGGATTTCCATATTTCTATTCGCCAATCCAGCCTTGGGAAAGCCTTTACTAAAAAAGTACAACACAAATACAGAACTCTAAGACTAGAAGTCTACGGATTTCCATATTTCTATACGTCAATCAAGCTTTGGGAAAGCCTTTACTAATAAAAGTACAACACAAATACAGAACTCTAAGACTAGAAGTCCACGGATTTCCATATTTCTATACGTCAATCAAGCTTTGGGAAAGCCTTTACTAAAAAAAGTACAACACAAATACAGAACTCTAAGACTAGAAGTCCACGGATTTCCATATTTCTATTCGCCAATCCAGCCTTGGGAAAGCCTTTACTAAAAAAGTACAACACAAATACAGAACTCTAAGACTAGAAGTCTACGGATTTCCATATTTCTATACGTCAATCAAGCTTTGGGAAAGCCTTTACTAATAAAAGTACAACACAAATACAGAACTCTAAGACTAGAAGTCCACGGATTTCCATATTTCTATACGTCAATCAAGCTTTGGGAAAGCCTTTACTAAAAAAGTACAACACAAATACAGAACTCTAAGACTAGAAGTCTACGGATTTCCATATTTCTATACGTCAATCAAGCTTTGGGAAATCCTTTACTAAAAAAAGTACAACACAATTACAGAACTCTAAGACTAGAAGTCCACGGATTTCCATATTTCTATTCGCCAATCAAGCTTTGGGAAAGCCTTTACTAAAAAAGTACAACACAAATACAGAACTCTAAGACTAGAAGTCTACGGATTTCCATATTTCTATTCGCCAATCAAGCTTTGGGAAAGCTTTTACTAAAAAAGTACAACACAAATACAGAACTCTAAGACTAGAAGTCCACGGATTTCCATATTTCTATACGTCAATCAAGCTTTGGGAAAGCCTTTACTAAAAAAGTACAACACAAATACAGAACTCTAAGACTAGAAGTCTACGGATTTCCATATTTCTATTCGCCAATCAAGCTTTGGGAAAGCTTTTACTAAAAAAGTACAACACAAATACAGAACTCTAAGACTAGAAGTCCACGGATTTCCATATTTCTATACGTCAATCAAGCTTTGGGAAAGCCTTTACTAAAAAAGTACAACACAAATACAGAACTCTAAGACTAGAAGTCTACGGATTTCCATATTTCTATACGTCAATCAAGCTTTGGGAAAGCCTTTACTAAAAAAGTACAACACAAATACAGAACTCTAAGACTAGAAGTCTACGGATTTCCATATTTCTATACGTCAATCAAGCTTTGGGAAATCCTTTACTAAAAAAAGTACAACACAATTACAGAACTCTAAGACTAGAAGTCCACGGATTTCCATATTTCTATTCGCCAATCAAGCTTTGGGAAAGCCTTTACTAAAAAAGTACAACACAAATACAGAACTCTAAGACTAGAAGTCTACGGATTTCCATATTTCTATTCGCCAATCAAGCTTTGGGAAAGCTTTTACTAAAAAAGTACAACACAAATACAGAACTCTAAGACTAGAAGTCCACGGATTTCCATATTTCTATACGTCAATCAAGCTTTGGGAAAGCCTTTACTAAAAAAGTACAACACAAATACAGAACTCTAAGACTAGAAGTCTACGGATTTCCATATTTCTATACGTCAATCAAGCTTTGGGAAATCCTTTACTAAAAAAAGTACAACACAATTACAGAACTCTAAGACTAGAAGTCTACGGATTTCCATATTTCTATACGTCAATCAAGCTTTGGGAAATCCTTTACTAAAAAAAGTACAACACAATTACAGAACTCTAAGACTAGAAGTCCACGGATTTCCATATTTCTATTCGCCAATCAAGCTTTGGGAAAGCCTTTACTAAAAAAGTACAACACAAATACAGAACTCTAAGACTAGAAGTCTACGGATTTCCATATTTCTATTCGCCAATCAAGCTTTGGGAAAGCTTTTACTAAAAAAGTACAACACAAATACAGAACTCTAAGACTAGAAGTCCACGGATTTCCATATTTCTATACGTCAATCAAGCTTTGGGAAAGCCTTTACTAAAAAAGTACAACACAAATACAGAACTCTAAGACTAGAAGTCTACGGATTTCCATATTTCTATTCGCCAATCAAGCTTTGGGAAAGCTTTTACTAAAAAAGTACAACACAAATACAGAACTCTAAGACTAGAAGTCCACGGATTTCCATATTTCTATACGTCAATCAAGCTTTGGGAAAGCCTTTACTAAAAAAGTACAACACAAATACAGAACTCTAAGACTAGAAGTCTACGGATTTCCATATTTCTATACGTCAATCAAGCTTTGGGAAAGCCTTTACTAAAAAAAGTACAACACAAATACAGAACTCTAAGACTAGAAGTCCACGGATTTCCATATTTCTATACGTCAATCAAGCTTTGGGAAAGCCTTTACTAAAAAAAGTACAACACAAATACAGAACTCTAAGACTAGAAGTCTACGGATTTCCATATTTCTATACGTCAATCAAGCTTTGGGAAAGCCTTTACTAAATAAGAACAACACAAATACAGAACTCTAAGACTAGAAGTCTACGGATTTCCATATTTCTATACGTCAATCAAGCTTTGGGAAAGCCTTTACTAAAAAAAGTACAACACAAATACAGAACTCTAAGACTAGAAGTCCACGGATTTCCATATTTCTATACGTCAATCAAGCTTTGGGAAAGCCTTTACTAAAAAAAGTACAACACAAATACAGAACTCTAAGACTAGAAGTCTACGGATTTCCATATTTCTATACGTCAATCAAGCTTTGGGAAAGCCTTTACTAAATAAGAACAACACAAATACAGAACTTAAAGGCAAATTCAAAAAGGGGAAGTCCATAAAAAATAACAAAATCAAACGCTAATCAACAAACCAAGTGAAAAACAACTGTCTATTGTTTCAGCCGGACGGAAGAAGTATAGGTATTTCTGGTCAATGCATTGATTTATCGCTAAGAATTGCATCATTCATGTAATCACTAAAAATAGTAAATACAGAGATGAAAGAAAAAAAAAATAATTAATTAAAAAAATATTGAAATGAGATATTCTATACTTACATTGTAAACTTTATATCATTTTGAGATTAAAGTTAATAAATAGAAAAAAAAACTACCTATGGGTTTTAATTGTGTGTTGATATATTAAAAATCTGCGCCTGCATACACATTTGTTGTAATTGGGTAAAGATAAAGTTGAAAGTCGGGGATAATTTTAAAAATTTCAAAACTGTCAATAAATACAAACGGGACAAGGGAATACATTTGACACATATTTTGTAACTTTAATATTTGATATATAATTTTTCAATCTGTTGAATTATTGTGGTTAAAGCCTTGGCTTCTTCTATATTTATCTTTTAAACAAACAACGCCAACATCTATAACAGCAATCCATTTAAAAAAAAATTAAGAACGTTGTCCCTCTTGGTATGTACAATTAGGAATTAAACATGAAACATGAAAGATACACACAAAATGAATAACACGAGTATAACAATACACCTTATTACATATAGCGGAAAAAATGTACACACCTTGTAGGTAGAACGTTTGACATAAATGATGATTTATAACAATATAATATAAAATGAATTAATATATATTATACATTTTAATAATTAAACAACCTACCTGTAAAATGTAAGAAATTTTACTATTTATCCTTTTAGGAGATACTATTATAATGACACACTTATTTTTTTAAAAGTAAACATTGAAGACGTATTAATTTTATTATGGTCATGCTTGATCAGTGATGTACAATGTTTCTTTATCATTAAAATACGTATGAACTGTAAACTTTTGCGGAAACCGTCATACCTACAATTAGCATTACAATTACGCTTACAAAGGAATTGTTAAAAAAATACACACTAGTGAGAAGGTGTAATCGTGTAAACGAAGGACAGACACCAGACATTAATATTTCTAATGCACTGTGCTGCGGCGGGGTTAAACTTTATATTGTGTAACCTTACACTTCCGGAGAACCTCAGATGACCCCCGTTTTTTGGTGAGGTTCGTGTTGCTCAGTATTGACTTTTCTATGTTGTGTTTTGTATACTATTGTTTGTGTTGCTCAGTATTGACTTTTCTATGTTGCGTTTTGTATACTATTGTTTGTGTTGCTCAGTATTGACTTTTCTATGTTGTGTTTTGTATACTATTGTTTGTGTTGCTCAGTATTGTCTTTTCTATGTTGTGTTTTGTATTTATTGTTTGTGTTGCTCAGTATTGACTTTTCTATGTTGTGTTTTGTATACTATTGTTTGTGTTGCTCAGTATTGTGTTTTCTATGTTGTGTTTTGTATACTATTGTTTGTGTTGCTCAGTATTGACTTTTCTATGTTGTGTTTTGTATACTATTGTTAGTGTTGCTCAGTATTGTCTTTTCTATGTTGTGTTTTGTATACTATTGTTTGTGTTGCTCAGTATTGTCTTTTCTATGTTGTGTTTTGTATACTATTGTTTGTGTTGCTCAATATTGACTTTTCTATGTTGTGTTTTGTATACTATTGTTTGTGTTGCTCAGTATTGTCTTTTCTATGTTGTGTTTTGTATACTATTGTTCGTGTTGCTCAGTATTGTCTTTTCTATGTTGTGTTTTGTTTACTATTGTTTGTGTTGCTCAGTATTGTCTTTTTTATGTTGTGTGTTGTATACTATTGTTTGTGTTGCTCAGTATTTACTTTCTATGTTGTGTTTTGTATACTATTGCTTGTGTTGCTCAATATTGTCTTTTCTATGTTGTGTTTTGTATAATATTGTTTGTGTTGCTCAGTATTGTCTTTTCTATGTTGTGTTTTGTATACTATTGTTTGTGTTGCTCAGTATTGACTTTTCTATGTTGTGTTTTGTATACTATTGTTAGTGCTGCTCAGTATTGTCTTTTCTATGTTGTGTTTTGTATACTATTGTTTGTGTTGCTCAGTATTGTCTTTTCTATGTTGTGTTTTGTATACTATTGTTTGTGTTGCTCAATATTGACTTTTCTATGTTGTGTTTTGTATACTATTGTTTGTGTTGCTCAGTATTGTCTTTTCTATGTTGTGTTTTTTATACTATTGTTCGTGTTTCTCAGTATTGTCTTTTCTATGTTGTGTTTTGTATACTATTGTTTGTGTTGCTCAATTATGACTTTTCTATGTTGTGTTTTGTATACTATTGTTTGTGTTGCTCAGTATTGTCTTTTCTATGTTGTGTTTTGTATACTATTGTTCGTGTTGCTCAGTATTGTCTTTTCTATGTTGTGTTTTGTTTACTATTGTTCGTGTTGCTCAGTATTGTCTTTTTTATGTTGTGTGTTGTATACTATTGTTTGTGTTGCTCAGTATTTACTTTCTATGTTGTGTTTTGTATACTATTGTTTGTGTTGCTCAATATTGTCTTTTCTATGTTGTGTTTTGTATACTATTGTTTGTGTTGCTCAGTATTGTCTTTTCTATGTTGTGTTTTGTTTACTATTGTTTGTGTTGCTCAGTATTGTCTTTTTTATGTTGTGTGTTGTATACTATTGTTTGTGTTGCTCAGTATTTACTTTCTATGTTGTGTTTTGTATACTATTGTTTGTGTTGCTCAGTATTGTCTTTTCTATGTTGTGTTTTGTTTACTATTGTTTGTGTTGCTCAGTATTGTCTTTTTTATGTTGTGTGTTGTATACTATTGTTTGTGTTGCTCAGTATTTACTTTCTATGTTGTGTTTTGTATACTATTGTTTGTGTTGCTCAGTATTGTCTTTTCTATGTTGTGTTTTGTATACTATTGTTTGTGTTGCTCAGTATTGTCTTTTCTATGTTGTGTGTTGTATACTATGGTTGTGTTGCTCAGTATTTACTTTCTATGTTGTGTTTTGTATACTATTGTTTGTGTTGCTCAATATTGACTTTTCTATGTTGTGTGTTGTATACTACTAGTATTGTTTGTCTTTTGTATGTTGTGTTTTGTGTACTGTTGTTCGACTTTTCTATGTTGTGTTTTGTATACTATTATTTGTCTTTTGTTTTTTTTTATTCTTTGTCATGGCGTTGTTAGTATATTGTCGACTTGTGAATTTGAATGTACCTTTGGTATGTTTCGCCTATCATTTGCATGTCGCAATTTCCCGTGATTTTCAAGTGCACCGTTTGTTGAGTATTCTTTTGCTATTCTAAAATAAGGTAAGTCACATATTAGAAACATAACATAAAAGGAAGTACTCTGTTTCTCAGGGGAAAGTGTTGGTTTCTTTGTTTAGATATATTCGAACATACATCCAGTATTGACAAAATTAAATAGACATATTACATATTATAGAATAGAATTTGAGCACGCCATCGGAGAATTGAAAAAAAATATGGGGATTTTGTTGTGAGATCCAAGACAGCAATTCAAATCTGATGTGACCATATGGTCTGCATTAGTGTGTCGTCAAAATGACAACATAATACAAACAAGTACTATCTTTAAAAAAACATATCTGACGCATTCAGACGTCAGCATAAAACAAACCATGATTCTTTATCATTTTAATCATAGTTTACAAACATTGCACACAATTTGTCGGCAAAAGGCTGACGATTATGAAAGTTGAGTATATGCGCTTTTCTCTAAAGAATTATAATCTATACTGCATTGTACTTAACTAAATTATATATATATATATATATATATATATATATATATATATATAGGTATTATTCAGAGATAAAGAAGTACCTGTAATTGTGAGATAGACATACACATAAGATATGTAGGTTACATTCTGTAATGAATAACAAACTTGAAACAGTTTAGATCCATGAAGAATTGTCAATTATAACTATACGCCAAGAACAACTTTCACAATAAATTCGGTATGTATATCGGGGACGGACGGACGCCAAATAGATATGATCTAATACAGCTTTTGACAATTAATTACATTTGCGATATATGTATTTTGACATTCTTTATTTCAAGTATATTATTTTGTACTCTTTGAGATTATTATTTCACCTTTGAAGTTTTAGTCAATAATATATAATTTATAGCACTGAGCTATTAATAACCTAATTGACCTTGTTGATCTAATGAACATGTCAGTGATATCTACCAACTCGTGTATTAAAGGCTAAGCCTACAAAATCAAAACAATTTGACAGTTGTGATAATGACACCTTCTTTACCTGAATTTAGTTTTATTTATCTGGATGATTTCATTTTTAAGTTTGATTTTATGTCCGTAATGTTTTCCTTTTATTGTAGCATATATCTTTTTTGTTGGTTTTTGTTCAAATCCGTTATTTCGTCCAATCAGAGTAAAGATTTGTGACATCATGCATACCGTTGCCATAGTGAAGCGTCCTTTATGAATGGGTCACAAACCGAAATTATACTGAATGCGTCAGAAAAACATTTAGTTATACAGTTGAACGGCAAACGCCTGAATCTGACAGACAAAGGTCAATCTGTCGACACAAAAAGTAACCGTATGTTAAATTTCACTCCAATTAACAGCGCCACCTTTAGGTTTTCTTCCTCGCCTTTGAGAACGATGTTCAGTTCTTTTGGAAATTAAAACATTAAATTGACTAAAACATAGAAAAGTAAGTGTAGATAAATTTAAAGATATATTTTTACATGACTGGCTATGCATAATATGCTGGCAATGTGCGAAATGTCCTTTAATCCAAGATTGAAAATGAGTTTGTTTCCTATGTCAAAATGGCGGTTTTCAATGTTTACATGTTTCTACCAAAACAAAAGCTGATTCAATTAGGTGTCCGGCCATGCATATGCAAATTATTGATTGTTTTTGGTAGCTTATCCACTGAAATTTACTGTTATATAAGTGGCTATACGTTACCATGTATCATTTCAAAAGTTTGACGTGTTTGATGTGTACATATCCGGAATGTTGTGTATTCAATTTTTGCGGTAAAATTCAATGTTATCGTCATTATATTTCCATGCATACACAAGTAATAACAACAAATACAGTTTTTATAAAACTTAAAAATTATACAGACATGTTTAATTGGTTGTCGTAACAAAAATTCGTGTAAATGAAGCTGATGGATCGTTTTGTAATTTAAGCACAGCAGACAAACACGTGGTCGTTCATTGATGTTTGTTTACTTAAAATGCACGCTTTTGTCCCTGCATACTTATATAGCAATAACCACTATTTTGTTATTATTGTTAAACAGTAAATATATTTAGTATATACAGATGGTATTTTATTGATATCAAGAGTTATATAACACGCCTTGCCTAAAAAATGGGTCTACATAGGTTCCAATAAAAAATTGAGGCTATAATGATGTAAATTTACTATGTTCACATTACAGCTGCACTTTTTTTTCATTTAACATATTTTATATATGTTCATAGAGAACAATGGAGTAGATGTACATCAGTCCAAATCCCTCCCTTGACAATAATGTTTATAGTTAGACACAAAGCGGGCAGATTAGCCTAGTGTCCTTGCATTTACTCTGTTGTTCCTATTTCTCAAAAGTCTGCTCGCATTGTCTAAATCCCCAACATTTTTCTTTTTTAATATAGAGCAGCTCCTCTAAGGTTAAGTAAGTGGGCACTTTATATATAGCCCAGCGACTAAGTCCTGTCCTTTTTTGTCTCTTTTTTTAAGTCTAGCGCACCCCTTGTAAGCCGTTCACTGGATAACCACCAAGCCACAACTCCTCTTTTTTCTATACTGGCTGAAAACAATGTACCGGTCTTGTTCATTGTTGATGTCTGTAAATTG